CTGTCTGCCTGAAATTGCCCTCACCTGTCGAAGCATGTAAATATGGTACGTACCACCATAAATGGGGTTTACCTAACCAGCCATTTCTTTCCTTGTTATTCTCTAATTCAAGATGCTCCCCTAACATAAAGAATTAGTAACCAGCACCAACCCATTTTCCTTCTTTTCTTTTGTGTCAGTGCCAGGTAATAGGGAAACATGCCAAAAGGATAGAATTAAAAATCCAGAGTCCCATAGTACCAGTATGGTCCATTTAAAGGGAGGGCTGGGATAACAGAAAAAGTCTCTATAGATTTGTGTTACATAGGCAATAAAACATATACCTTTGTAGTATGCCGGCATTTAACCAATCATAGAAGCTATTTGTTGCCTCATATATTACAAAGCAATAGAGATTTAAGGGATAATGTTCATGGAGGCAGAGGATACGAAGCAATAAACAGCACTGGAGGTTGGTTAAATGCCAAGTGAAGCCAGGACTACAGCACCATAAACATTATTCCTATTATATGACAAGATAAGGAGGTACAAGAAGCTGCCCTCAATCCCACCACAACTAGGGCTCTATTGCTATTCTTGGCCTTAGAAAGGGAAAGCAGGCCCTGGAGGTCTATGAGCTAGTTATGTATTTCAGGTCTCAGATATGAACAGAACCTCAACCTGTACCTAAATGTCCTCTGGGAGAAGAAAAGATCTGGTAGGACACATCCGTAGGGGGAAAAAAAATAACAAGAGCTGATCAGGTCACACTGGACAGAGAAACAATCAAAAGATTTGTCCTTAAAAGGACAGAGTTGATACAGAGTTGGTTATGACAGAAATCTTTCTCAGTGGCTAATAATGGGATGATACTGTGCATTAGAAGTATCTCCTCCGAGGAAATGTGTTCCTGTTCTTAAGGAAATAGACATTCTAAGTAATAAGCTTATATGATCAGCTTCTGCTCAAAGGCTTTGTTATGATAACCAGAAGGACTACTGAAATCTGCGTAATTTGTACTGCAAAACAGTGTCATGTTCCAGAGAGGGAGGTATGGGAATATGGAATTTGTTGACTTCTAGTAATAAAAACTGGACAAAAAACGTCTAAAAGATAAGTTATCTAACTGCATTTACAAATCCAAGATTACTGTCAAAAACATAGTACAGCTGACCTTCGAATGACACGGGTGTGAACTGGGCAGGTCCATTTGATAAACATAGTACAATACTGTAAATTTTTTCTTCCTTACAATTTCCCTAATAACATTTTCTTTTCTCTGCTTACTCAATTGTGAGAATACAGTATACAGTACATATAACATACAAAATATGAGTTAATCAACCATTTATGTTATCGGTAAGGCTTTAGATCAACAGTAAGCTATTAGTAGTTAAGTTTTTGGGGGGGTCAAAAGTTGTATGCAGATTTTCAACTCCCCACGGGTGTTCCTAACCCCTGCACTGTTCAAGGGTCAACTGTAATTGTTTCTGCTTGCACATAAAATAAAACAACTTTACAATCCATCTTTAAATAAAAATGTCTCTCAAAGCATCAAAAACTTAAAAGACTGGGGCGCCTGAGTAGCTCAGGTCATGATCTCTCAGTTTGTGGGTTCCAGCCCCACGCAGAGCCCCACGTCGGGCTCTGTCTGTGCTGACAGCTCAGAGCCTGGAGCCTGTTTGAGTTCTGTGTCTCCCTCTCTCTCTGCCCCTCCCCCACTCACACTGTTTCTCTCTCTCTCTCTCTCTCTCTCTCTCTCTCAAAAATGAATAAACATTAAAAAAAATTAAAAGAAAAAAAAAACTTAAAAGACTACCTAAATTCAGCACCAAACGAAACTTTTATTATTTTAATAACAGAAGCAAAGCCATTTTATGGTCAGAATGGTTTTAATTAGATGCTATCTTATAAACATTTCAAAAACCCAAACCACTCAAATTCAACCAACCCTTTGCCACAGGGTATCTGGGGTACTGTTGCCTTAACAACACTAACCCATTCTCTGGAGGCAGCTCTATTAACTACTCCTGCTACCACATTCCATAGAGAGGTATTAGCAAGAATATTGGTTTCCCTAAGTTCCTCTTCATGAGAGTGATTAGGCCTCAAGAGAAACACGGTCTCAACAGGAGAACAGAAATGAAAGGGCTCAAAACACCCTCTCATCTGTCTTTTCAGACAAGAATGCAGAGAACACAACCTTCAGCAGCCATCTTTTTTAAAAAAAGTACATGCAGCATATTTAGAATTCAGCTGTGTCACATCAGACTTACTGTTGGGAAGTGGATCATGAACAGAATCCAAAAATAACAGCCATTAAAGACCTAGCAACCAAAACATGTTTACGTATCCATTGAAAGCCCGGTGGTTTTGATTATATGGTGGAGAGCATAATCCACTAGTCTATTTTAGGTAAATTTTCCTTTCACCTTCCCTTAATATTAAGGCGTAAGATGATTTCTGAGTTTAGGGCCCATTGGGTAAAGTCCGGGCACAGAACAGATACTGAAATAATGCAAGATTCATATAGTTTTCGTCTGTTGGTTGGTTTTTTAAGGATCAGTCTCTTGAATTGTAATTTGCTTTCATTCCTTCTTCCACTAAGTGGTATACCGGAGCCACCGATTTTTGAGGCTTCTATGGCAGTAAGTTCCAAACCATGTCTTGTAAAAATTATCATGATCCTTATCGCCAGTCCTGGAATTTACATAGCCTTTTAAAAAAATTGTTATTCTACCATTTCTGGAATAAAAAATTTGAATCAATGACAGAGGATTATACATAGCTTGAAGGCCTCAAAGGGGCTCCAGGATGAAACCATTTTCAAGGGATATAAGGAAGTTGGATGACAGGCCAAGGGTAGTTTGCTTTCCCAAATTTATCTTCTCTGCCAGATTTCCACTATTTCATATAATAGAAAGCAATCAAGGTAAAGTGAGTCTTGCAGAGATCCTAGAGTTAAATTTTACTTAGATATTGGGAGAAACTTGGAATAAGACTAAATATAACTAAAGAACTACAATTGTACCTAAAGTTCTGACATGCAAAGGAGTTACCTTCATAGACTTAAGCCGTAGTTTTCTATGCTTTTCTATGAAACAAGTACCTTGAATCCAAAAGAAGATACTCATCTCCCTGAGTACCATATCCACTAAAGGGAAAAAAAAGCCTTTGGGACTTATACTAGAGGTTATAATGAGTCCTAACAACCAAAATACCAGCAGACAGTTCAGAAATGGGAGGAAGAATAGGGGAAGGAAAAGGCTTATGATAAACAGTACCCAACAATACAAAAGGAACCAAAGTAAAAAGTCCTACTGTTTTTACCACCTCTAGTCCAAAAAATGCAAAACAAAAAGAAACAAACAAACACAAAACCATCTGGGATCTCACAAATTTCAGTGAAAACTACTCTTTTCTGATAGACAGTCTGAAGAAACCTATTTAAACCTTTCTTCCTCCGAGAGCTTAAGAGATGATTTTCCATTTTAATTTCTTTAAGTCCTTGTCTAGGTGGTTTTCAGCATACAACATATAAGAGGGGCACTGAGTAGCTTAAGCCATGAACAAAGAAAAATAAATGTAAGTATGAGAAAAATAACTCTTTTCACCAAAAATGCAGATTTTTAAAGGGAGATAAGTGAAAAGGATCCCAGGTATCAATTATGGAAATCACAGTAACTACTGCTATCAACACATCCACACACAAAAATCTGGAGGGATCAAGTTCAGATATATATTCTAATACAGCTGTTTGAAAATGGAAACAAATTTATCCTAATTTCTCAGGTGGCTTCTATTGTAAAAGAATAAAACATAAATCACACGGGGAAAACATCCAACCAACAATAAAGTTGAAAACTCTGATAAGGAAGGAAATATACCCTATGATGCTGAATACTTCAGAATATAATGGCTTTTTTAGTCTTCTCTGAAATTTTCAGCATTTACTGGAATGTGGAATCATCCTTCTGCCCATTCCTTGTCACCACCCCCATCTCATTCACCTCTCAAATTCCAATTCCTAGGAATCTCTGGAACTTAACTCTCTCTTTTTGTCTAAGTATTTACAATGTTTAATAGAACTAGTCTGCAATCTCACATACCACCAGTAAGTGTCACTGGGCAGTCACATGGCATATTCCTAACTGAACAGAAATTCAACCTTCAGGTTCCATAAAATCAATTCATGAAGGCAGATAAAACTTTCTTTGTATTCCTTTCTTCATCCTTTGTGGAACATGGCAGTAGGGAAGGGTCTAGGAAGAAGAGTTAAGAAGGTGCAAAATGGGGAAGAAGAAAAAAAAAAGGCAACTTCAACAAAATTACTTTATTAAAAAAGCATATAATGAAAAATATCTGACACAAAATGTACACATATGCAAATAATAACATGGCAGCTGACGAACAGCACAAGGCATTTCATGGCATAAGAGAGGGAAAATGGCTAAGAAATCTCGTAGTTTATATATTTGCTGCGACATCTCAGGTTCTACACTGGATTTGCCTTCCCTACATAGACAGATATCTGCCTTAGCTACCAGCAATGATTTTCTGGATCAACAGTCCAAAGAAACTTTTTTTTTTTCTTATTTAAAAAATCCAACAGATTCCAGCAAATTGTGGTTCACAGTGAACGGGTACATTCTCGGCTGCCTATTCTAAATGTTAAGCAGACTTTTATATCCATTGAAGGTTGAGGAAAAGATATTTCTAAACTTGTTTTGTATTTAGATGGATAGCTTTATAAAGGAGGAGAGAGCAACATGTATTCCCCAACACTGTGTGTCGGGAAACAAACACCAGTAGAATAACAATATGAAAGAGAGCAAGGCAGATTTCATTACGGTAGAGTGCCTACACTTCCTCATAACATGGATTTACACACTGCAAATCCTCTGATCTGATTACCTCCAGTGATCACGTAAAATACCGGCTTTAAACTCTTTGCCTTAGTGATAAAACAGCCACTTTGATTCACAACGAGACATTCACAATAAAGTATATTGTAAACGTACCTGTCCACAGCCCGGGGCATTGCACACAAACGGTCTGTCGTCTCCCATATTTCATATAGCAGAGCGGAGCTGAGGAGGGGGAGGCAGGGGGAAAAGTTATGTTAAATACGCTGGAGTTTAAAAAAAAAAAAAAAGTGCTTCAAAAATATCAAGCCTAGAAACAGGTGCTCCAAGAATGCTGTCTATCAAAGCTATAAACACAGGCTACTTTGGGGAGACCCATTAGACAGGTGGCATATGATCTACCGCGCCTCAACTGAAACTTTTAATTAGAAAAATTTAGACCTCAATAGTCAAGGAATTTCAGACCTTTTGCTAGATTTTCCCTCTTTCTGCTACAGTATATAACACACTCCTCTAGTCTACTGAATTACAACCAGTGCAGTTCCCTATGTCAATAAATCCACAGAACATTCGATGCGGAAGCCATATTTCTGAACTAGAGAAGACCAAAATTTGTCATTTAATTAATTAAGGGATTATAGGAGGGGTGCTCCATTTTACAGGGCTATAATCTGGCTCCCTGGTGTATAAACTACGAGACTGTTGGCAAGGGCCGTTTATCCCAGATTATTGCCAAAGAAAACAAAGCACCCATCCTATTGGGCTACACGGGAAATGATTTTCATTAATAAAAAAATAAAAATAAAAACCTTCTCTCCCCACTGGGAGCCTCCTTCTCCCCCCACCAATCGTCTGTGGCAAATGGAGAAATATCGGTGCCCTTCCCCCTCTAATTCTATTTATGGCTAGGTTTTTAAAAGCAGCAATAAAACAAATGTCGACTCTTTGGGGGTTTACTGGGTGAATATGTTCCGGCTGTTTGTGCTGCTCTCAGCCAGAGTTCTTGGGCTGCTCTGTTGCAGCCAACAGATGTGTGCTGCTGCAGGGGATAAAAGAAATGGCACTAAAAGGCATCACCATCCATCCTCTCTATTTCTCTGAAGAATTTAACAGGGCTTACACTGTTGTTGTTTTTTAATTATTGAGGCTAAACTCTTGAAATGTTGATAGACATTCCTTGTCAAAGAACAATAATTCCAATATGAATGCGTTGGGAAAATTTCTCATTTCCCAACCAGGAATAAAAATAGAGGTGGAGGTAGATAAGGATGAGAAATGCAAATCCTAGGGAAAATATTCCTAAAAGACAAACAGTGTTTTGAAGGGGTGGGGGGAAGGGCATAAAAATAGTCTTCATAGAATAAACTCCTAAAGGACATTTTTGAACATCCTTCTACAAGAAAGAAAGGGGTATAAAAGAATATTAACAAGGGAAGATGAAAGAGGAAGAAGAAGAATTTGAATATGCCTAGAAACAACTTCAGAACTGTAACCAAAATCAAAAGGTCAGAGTTAACCTCACTCAGGTCTGCATTAAAATAAAATGTTAAAATGCTGGACTGAATTTGGTAATCAGAAAAGCATGTTTAAAACTCAGAGGGTAGCTAGGTAACATCTCTTCTACTCTCTTAAGACTCACTCTGGGGTTGGAAACCAGTATTTCTGGTAGTCTGATCAGTAATTCCACAACTAATCAGTGTTCAAAATTGTGGGGTGCCCCATAAAATAGAAAGGGCTTCTTAGTCATCTTTCAGGGTGATAGGAACAGGGTCTAACTATGAAGGAAACTGATGCTGCAGCATTGCTGTAATGGAAGGGAGCCTGTATGTACATAGGTGTACACAGATTTATATCACATTTAGCCAGGATAAATTGCTTCAATAAATTCTGTTCCTAGGAGAAGCCAGCTCGAGCTGATGATTGGGTACTGGGAAAATGAGAGCTTTATTCTTTTTCACACAGCCCCAGGACAAGGGGGTTTTCTGGTTTGTTTGTTTTAAATACGTGATGAGTTTTTTTAGCACTTTCTGGAACTATGACATAGTGCAAAAAATAAATACAAGTAAATAAAAGTAAATAAATACAAAGACCAAGGCCACTAGGACTGAAAATTCAGAACATTTCTGGAAAGCAATTCGTCTCTGGAAAAATTCCTAACTGCTGTGCTGGAGATAATTCCACTTCCTAGTCCCCAAACCTGCTTTCCTGATATAATCACAAAATGAGAATTTTATTTCAACAAGGTCCTCTAACAGATTTTTCAACCAGGACTAAAACTACAAGGACTAGAGCAGACATAACATAAGGAACCAGGCAGGATTCCTTCCTTTTACCTTGGTTCTGTTATTTGAGGCTAAATGTTCTGTCTTCTACCTAGAAGAGGAAAAGGGTGCTTGCTGGCTGAGGATTAGGGCAGCGCCGGCACAGAGAGGGATTAAATACACTCTGGAACAATTTCCCTCAAACCACAAAATTCAAAACTTAACTTGGTTTTCTTGGTTTTGTACAATCACATCACAAAATATGGCTTCCAAATTTTATTTAACTGCATCCTTACTAGGAATAGAAATGCAATATCATGACTTTCTAAAAGAAAACAAAAGGCAAAACCAAGTTGGGGGAAAAGTATTAAATGTAACAGAAGCAAGCATTTTCATGGCTCTTTAAATACTGAAATCTTACAGTCACTAACTGGGATTTCCTGCTTCCTTCCCACTTTACTAGCTTTTGTTTTGCCATTTTCACCAAAAGGAAGATCACAATGGGAGGAAGAAGGCCCTCTTTCCTAAATACCCACAATTATTCTTAAATCATTCGTTGGTCTCTTGCTCTTTTTCATTTCCATCATTCTTGCTTTTTCACTTCAAAGTGATTTGTCTTTAAAGAATATTTAGCAACAACAATAATGATCTGTTCTCCCACTTAAAATTCTAGGGGCACCTGGGTGGCTCAGTCAGTTGAGCATCCAACTTTGGCTCAGGTCATGATCTTATGGTTCATGGGTTTGAGCCCCATGTAAAGCTCTGTGCTGACAGCTCAGAGCCTGGAGCCTGTTTCGGATTCTGTGTCTCCCCTCTCTCTCTGCTCCTCCCCCACTTGTGCTCTCCCTCTCAAAAATAATAAACATTAAAAATAAATCCCGGGGCGCCTGGGTGGCTCAGTCGGTTGAGCGTCCGACTTTGGCTCAGGTCATGATGTCACAGCTTGTGAGTTCGAGCCCCGCATCAAGCTCTGTGCTGACAGCTCAGAGCCTGGAGGCTGCTTCAGATTCTGTGCCTCCCTCTCTCTCTGCCCCAACCCACTCGCATTCTGTCTCTGTCTCTCTCAAAAATAAATAAACATTAAAAAAAAAAGTAAAAAAAAAAAATCCCGTTTACATCTTTTTAATTCCCAATCTGCTGCATCAATTGCTACATATAGAGAATGTGTTGCTTATTTCTATTTGATACTTAAAACAAATCTCACACATGAGAGAGGTCAAACTGATGCCTTCTCAAAAACAAAACCAACACATTTCTATAGTACAGACTGAGACAAAGGTGAAGTCTTGAATAATAATGCTGCCATTTACTAGAATGTAACTCACGGCCCATTTGTAACTGTACAACTTGACAAGTAGATCACATGTCTGGGCACGACACTCAAGTCTGCGGTCTTCTCCATGATCTATTCCTCAGGATGAAACTCAAGCATTTTATAGAACTAGCCAACAAATGAAAGGCAAAGGATACATATATTGAGAGACACTTCCAAGGGGAAGTGAGATGCTTTCAGAGGAGATCGTAGAACAGGAAAACAAAGATGCTGAAAAAGGCTATCCTAGAGGTCAAGTCTGCAGAGAAAAAGGCTCATGTACTAGACTCACCAGAATGCATAAATGATAAAAATTACTATTTATTCAAAAGACAGAAAGTTATCTGAATGCTAGGAGAGAAGTGAAGAAAATCCAAGGTTCAGACACTGATTTTTATTAACTGGGATAATTTCATAAAATCTGTTACATAGTTTTGACAGAACCAGAAGTATATCCTAAAATGGTCAATGTGCAAATAAGAAAACTGATTCTCTATGTGTACACACACACACACACACACACACACAGGTATATCTATCCTTTTTTCTTCTTTTTTAATAGAATGAGGATGGAATCTGTCAGCGAGGACTACGAAGTCAGTTCTCTGGACCCAGGTGTAATATGATTATTTCTTTAGTAACCAATTGCTGTTCATAAAATGGCCCAATTTTTGTAAGGAATAAAAGCCATATACGAACACACCCAAGGCCCTGTTCTTAGGTTCCTAATAACAAAAAGCAGATACTACTAAGTATATAAAATGAGAAGAACATATTAATATCAAAGAACATTAATATTAAAGATTCATGAAAATCTAGAAAGGGTTCAGACTAGCTATCATTCATTCATTCAAAATGTATTACTTAGGGGGGCGCCTGGGTGGCGCAGTCGGTTAAGCGTCCGACTTCAGCCAGGTCACGATCTCGCGGTCCGTGAGTTCGAGCCCCGCGTCGGGCTCTGGGCTGATGGCTCAGAGCCTGGAGCCTGTTTCCGATTCTGTGTCTCCCTCTCTCTCTGCCCCTCCCCCGTTCATGCTCTGTCTCTCTGTCTCAAAAATAAATAAAACGTTAAAAAAAAAATTAAAAAAAAAAAACCAAAATGTATTACTTAGGAACTACTAAGTGCCAGGCAAAGTGGACATAAAAAGACAGAGGCACCTGGGTGGGTCAGTCAGTTGAGCACCCAACTTTGGCCCTGGTCCTGATCTCGCAGATGGTGTGTTCACACCCCACATTGGGCTGACTGCTGTCAGCACAGAGCCCACTTCGGATCCTCTATGCCCCTCTCTCTGCCCCTCCTCTGTTTGCACTCTCTCTCTCTCTCTCTCTCTCTCTGTCTCTCAAAAATAAATACACATTTTTTTTGAAAAAGACAATAATCCTTTGCAAAAAAAAAAAAAAAAAAAAAGAAGAAGAAGAAGAAAGAAAAGAATCTTTCACTCATCTGTGGCAAAGAAAAACTAAAGCCGAACAGTAGTTAAAGCAGTAAAAAACAGATTTTATTCAGAACTATTGTAATAGGGGGAAAGAGACTTCAGTGCAGAACTGGGCTCTGTTCTAAATACATCATGGACAAGTGGAAATTTACAGCCAACGACCACAGTAGGGGTTAATGGATAGAAAATTACTAAAAGGAAATATCAGGACAAAGG